CTATCTATCTATCTATCTATCTATCTATCTATCTATCTATCTATCTAATTTTTGTTTGCATGTTTGTTTTTGAGACAAAGACTCATTTTGTAGTCTAGGCTGTCCTGGAGCTCACTATGTAGCTCAGGCTGGCCTTGAACTATGGCATTTCTCCCGTTTCAGCCTAGCAGATTCTGGAATTTCAGAAGTGTGCCATCATGTTTGGTAGCTTTCTTATTAATTAAAGAGAGGTGGCATATTGCTCTCAGGTTTAATTTCCAATCAAGGAGATAATGAACCTTAAATGCTTGATACAGAGCAGACACATAATGCTTTCTTGTCTTCTGGCCTTTCTAAGTTCAGTTCAGACATAGAAGACTGGTTGCTAAGATTATGTGTGAGTACAGATCTTAAAAGTAGAAGCGGTGTCAGAAGACATATACTTAAATGTTCTGTGTGGTTACCTACATAATGGAATAAAACAATAATACCACATTTCAACTCATCTCTGGTTCAAATGCTAAACTCAGGTTCAACAAACATTTATTATATGTAACACAGTTTCAGTCATGGCTACTGCCTTAATATTTGTCACAACATCTTCTTGCTTATATTTCATTATTACCATCTCTAATTTAAGAAGTTGAGCTAGGTAGTGCATACATGAAAAGTGGGCATATTGGGAGGAATCATTAAAATTAAAGCAAATCTGAACAATGTTACTCTAATACACAGCTGAAGAAATAAACATTTACAAGGTGACAAGTCCTATGACAAATAGTATTCTATAATTATTCTCTTAATATTCAAGCAAGCATATTATAGTTTCCTGTTTTCTTTACATTAATTTCTCAGCAACTGTTATAACAATCAGTTTTTATGATTTTTGCTGCTAACACATATAGTTTAATAGTTATTGAGATAAAGAGATCAGATGTAATTTTTCAGTATGTAGGATTCTCCACAAACATTTACAGTAACGCATCTGATCTACGGTCCTTTCATTCTTTTCCTTTGTTCAAGTTACATAGAACTTAGAGTTAAAAACTCTAGTTCAATAAGCTTTGCCACTTACGACCCATGTGATATTGGATCCTCACCCCCTTTTTCCAAGTTGGCATAAAAAATAATGGACTTAATTATAACATTTTTATACATATCTGGATTTCTCATTCTATAAAATGGGTTTGAAAATTCAAGTCTGGAGCCAAGATGGCTTGGTGGGTAAATGTGCTTGCCACAAAAGCCTGCTGCCCTGAGCTTGACTTCTGAGACCTGTCTCTGAATGCCACGTTTGAGTGCTCTCCCTCCCAGTTTCCTCTTTCTCCCCTTCTCTGTGTATGTCTCTGTCTATCTCTCATACACACACACACACTAAATGAAAATGTTAAAAAAAATAGTCAAAATTCAAGCTTGTAATATTTTTATGGGGTTGCTACGGTGGACAAATAAAGAAAAATACTTGCACAGAGCCCAGCACATGCCTCATACCCAATTATACTGTAAAGCTACTTAAAGGCTCAAGGTAGCAGAAACCTGACTAAAAGGCTGTGCTTTGGGGTGGTAGGGGAACCTCTCTCCAGAGGAGAAGATGCTCATCCACTGTGAGGTTTGAAGGAGGAAAATACACAGCAGTAAAAACTTTGGATTCCTTGCAGGTGGGCGCAGAGAGAAATATGTTCTGTATTACTGTTTGCTTGGTGACTGACATTCTGTTTTTCTGGACCCAGAAGTAGTATAATTCCCCCTTCTTTCAGCACAGAAGGAGCTCCAATAGAAATTTAACTTAAGCCTTTTAAGAGCCCATTATTGACCCCATTTTTAACCTAACAAGCTGGATTTGATTATTTTCAGTTGTTCCTTGGCTACTCTTGAAGACTGAATTTGGGCTGGAGCAGGAAGAGCTACAGGCAGAGAAACCAGTGAACAAAGTAGCTTTGATGGTGTGGGTTAGGGAAAGATGGTATGGTTCTTAATAAGGGAAGATAGAGAAGTGCAAGTGAGAGGCTCTGATGAAAGCACTCATAAGATTCCTTAGAGGGTTACACCAAGGTATGGAGTGAACAAAACCACGATCTCAAGAGATAGTGTGCTTCAGAGAACATTATGCTGAGGACTTTTAGGCATCAGAGTTGGACCACAGCTTGTCAAGGGAGATGAAGTATTTAGTTTGATATATCAAACATCCACAGAATGTCAAGAAGGAATATATAGCAGGTACTGAGAAACAGAGGAAAACTGGGATGGGCAATGTTGACCTGGGCTCTTCAGCTTATAAGTCATGGTGAAACTATGGTAATAGATGAAGTTGTTAAGCAAATAAGGGAAAGTCACAGAAATGTCAGGGACCCTTTAAAGTGCTTCTCAAATATGGCCCTGGGCATTGCCTGTACCTTTGACCCAACTAAGGGGCTCTTGTCCCTGCCCTACGCAAACAGCATCTTTTGGCAACTCTCATCTGAGTCTAATTTATATTTAGATGTGAAAGGAGCCCTCATATTAGACTGAGAATTTCAGCAATTTTCATTTGCAACTTAGACTCACTTTTGCCTTAAACTATTGAAAAAGGAACTTTGGTCACTAAAATTTGGGATGATACTGAAGAGAGGGAAAGGAGATCATTTCACAACTGAATAAACCTAAAGCCACTTTTATTATATTTTATTTTCTAAATTTAGATTGGAGTTCACTCTAATCAAGTCTAATCTGGAACAATTTATTATGCATCACAAGCTGGCTTCAACTCACAAATAGGCCTCCTACCTCAGCCTACCTGAGAAAGCCTTACTTTTGGGAGCTTTGGTTCCAATAGTACCTCTCCATAGTGCCACAGTTATAGTCCAATATAGCACACAGATGTGGATGTAAAGGAAGCGAGGCAGTCTGTGCTCACCATTTAGTGATATATAAATTGCTCATCATGATGATGAGGGTTTTTTATTTATTAATTTACTTATTACATACCTTAGCTACAGCCCAACTCCGATGATACTGACTGCTAATAAAAACTGGAAGCCAGGCTAAATTACCACTATTTTTTCTAGTGATTTGGGGGCAACTCTCTTCTTTTCTGCCCTTTGCCCTGAGAAGATAACGGTGTTTCTTAGCTACCCACCAGTTTCCACAAAGATAATTAGTTTAGAAATGGCCACAGAAGATTCTGAAGACAGATAAAAAAAAAAAGAGAGAGAGAAACTGGTGGTAGGAGAGCAAAGAAAATTTTCAATTACAGAAACTCTAGAAACTATATAAATCCCAAAAGTGTGATTTTAAAATCCCCTACAGCAACATTTTAAAGTAAATCTTAGCTCTCCTCCAAGCTGTTATAAACCCAGCTTTTGCAAGATGACACAGAAAATGGAGCTCAATTGATGGGTGAAGCCGAGAAGGGTATGTTGAATTGAAATAACCTTTTCATAACTATTGTAAAGAGTTGAGACATTTGGGTGTGACCTGAACAGTTTCTCTTGCTTGATGGGAGCTGTTGTCATTCTTGTCTCTCGAGTGGCAGGTCATACCAAGCATGGCAAGAAGTCTGAGTATTCAAAGCAAATGTATTCTCTTATCAATTTATTCACCAACATTCTAGTACATTAAAATGTTTATTAGTATATAATATACTTTATCT